ACGATCCCACTGCTGCCTGTGAAGCTCCCGCTGCTGCATCTACAACTCCTGCTGCTGCAGCTGGAGCTCCCGGTGCAGCAGCAGCTGCAGCAGCAGCAGCAGCTGCCACCCAGAGGCTGCAGCAAAAGCGCCGCTGCAGAGGAAAGAGCGGCAGCAGCGGAAGCCCAGGGCTTCCCTGCCAAAGAGCTCGGCTGCTAAACCCTAAACCCTAAACCCTAAACCCTAAACCCTAGCTTAGCCCCCAGGAGCCACGACTCCCTCAGTCTGGCACAGACTATAGCCACCTGCAGCAGCAGCAACTATTGCTGCTGCTGCAGCAGCAGCAAGAGCTGTTGCTGCTGCAATGTGAAATATTTCATGTTTCAAAGGCAGCTCGGGAATATAGACTTCCTGAGCCATTTATGCTGCAGCAACAGTGCTGCTGCAGCTGCTGCTCCTGCAGCAAGAAAGCAGCAGCAGCAGGAACCACGCGGGTGCTGCAGCAACGTGCAGCAGCAGCAGCAGCAGCAGCAGCAGCCTTCTTCATCATTGCTTAACCTCAGCTTCACTCTTCTTTCAATAAAAAGATTTGGCAGCTGCAGCAGCAAAACTGCTGAGCAGCATTTTGTGTAAATTCAGGTGTATAGACAGCTGCTGCTGCCCTGCATTTGCTGCACCAGACTGACGCAGGAAAGGCCTCTCTAGGGTTTAGGGTTTAGGGTTTAGGGTTTAGGGTTTAGCACTCGAGCCCTCCAGACCTGAGAAGCGCGGCAACTGCTGCTGCACAAAGCGCAGCAGCAGCTGCCTACACACCTGAGCAGCAGCAGCAGCAGCAGCAGCAGCAACAGCAAAACGAATCTAAAGTCCTCAACATGCGAAGCAGGAAATTAAGAGAAAAGAAGCACAAAAAAGGCAGCAGAAGTGCAGCAGCAGCAGCAGCAGCTGCTGCTGCTGCTGCTTTTGCTGCTGTTGCAGTGGCTGTTACTGGTGTGGCCGCTGCTGCAGCGGCTCTTGTTGCTGTGGCTGCTGCTCCAGTGGCTCTTGCTGCTTCTGCTGCTGCTGCTTCTGCTGCTAGTTTTGCTGCAGCTGGTGCTGCTGCACCTGAAGTTGTTGCAGCTGCTGCTGCGATCGCTGCTGCTGATTCGCTGCAGCTGCTTCCGTTGCTGCTGCTGCACCTGCCTCTGTTGCTGCTGCTGCTGCTGCTGCAGCTGCTGCGCCCCTTCCACATACAGACCGTCAGCAAAGACAAGGTTGAAAGCAATTTTATTCTGAACCCTAAACCCTAAACCCTAAACCCTAAACCCTAAACCCTAAACCCTGATCCCTAAGCCCCTGATCAAAAGCCTAAAACTTAAACTAGCGAAAAGCCCAACTGCAGACAAAGACAGGCTCTAAACTCTTAAGGGTTTAGGGTTTAGGCGTAAACCCTAAACCCTAAACCCTAATCCTTACAGCAAACCTCAGACCCTAAACCCTAAATCCTGAGATTTACACCTTTCAAACAGGCGGAGCCAAAACAGCTCAAGCTTCAGGGTTTAGGGTTTAGGGTTTAGGGTTTGGAGATTGAGAAACCCCCCGAGGGTTTGGGAGTGCATGAAAGGTCAGCTTCGCAGCTCGGACTTTGCCTGCTGCTCGCACGGATTAGGGTTTAGGGTTTAGGGTTTAGGGTTTAGGGTTTAGAAGGCTTGGGCTTGTTGCTGAAGCTCTACGGCCAAGAGTCACATGTGTAGGCGTAAGGGTTTATGCAAATGGGTTTCAGAAGCAAGGGTTTAGGGTTTAGGGTTTAGGGTTAGGGTCTAGGGTTTGGCGATTAGGGTTTGGGGTTTAAGATCTGAAGTCTAGGCCTTGCAGAATGCAGACAAATTGGGCAGCCGCATTTCAGGGTAAATGTTTTAATTTAATGTTTGCTGCTGCTGCTGCTGCTGCTGCTGGTCTGGTCGCGGACAGCTCGCATGCAGCAGCAGCAGCAGCGGCTGCTGCTGCTGCTGCTGCTGTTGCTGCTGCATTTTCTGTTAAATATAAGCATATTCCGATCTACTTATTATATTTTAAATACAAAACTTTTTCGTAGATATTGCTTAAAGCAGGCGAGGCCGCTAGCTGCTGCAGCCCGTGTTGCTGCTGCTGCTGCTCCTTGATACGGGATCCGCTCTCTCGGCAGGCCGGTTGGTTTATACTAGCAGCAGCAGCAGCAGCAGCAGCAGCAGGGGCAGCAGCAGCTGCTGCTGCTAGTATAAACCGGCCAGCGGCCGGCGAGCTCCAGGCCACGCGGGCACAGCTGGCTCCCCGGAGGCTCCCGCCGTGGCAGCAGCAGCAGCAGCAGCAGCAGCAGCGAGAGCGACGGAGGCGGCACAGTGGCGGCAGGAGCAGCTGTCGCAGCAGCAGCAACAGCAGCAGCAGCAGCAACAGCAGCAGCAGCAGCAGCAGCAGCAGCATGTCAGGCCGCTTCAGAGATGTGCAGCAATGACTGCCAAGGCCACTGCCGCTGCGGCTACGGGGCCCCCGGGGGCCCCTGGGGCCCCACGGGCCTCCACGCTCACTTTGTGTGGGCAAGAGCTGCAGCAGCAGCAGCAGCAGCAGCAGCAGGAGCAAGTTCAGGAGCAGCAGAAGCAGCTGCTGCTGCTGCAGCAGCAGCTGCAGCAGTACCAAATGAGGCTCAGGCGGAGGTGCCCCTTGGGTACTGTTGGCTGCGAATGCGCGGAAGTTGACGCTGCAGTTGACCTGCTGACAGCAGCAGGAGATCCTGCTGCTGCTGCTGCTGCTGCTGCTGCTGCTGCTGACGACTCACCATCAGCAGCAGCAGCGGCAGAGCCAGCAGCAGGAGCAGCAGAAGTAGCAGCAGCTCGAAAGCTACTGGACCGCTTTGTGTGGCGGCGTGGGTCCTGGCGTCGCTGCATTGCAGCTGTTGCTGCTGCTGCTGCGCTGCAGCAGCAGCAGCAGGAGTGCCCTGCGCAGCTGCCGCTGCTCTTTGCTTGTTCAAACAGCAGCAGCAGCAACAGCGCAAGCAGCAGCAGCAGCAGCAACAGCGCAAGCAGCAGCAGCAGCAGCAGCAACCAATGTAGACCAGCCTTTGGACCCTCCAGTTTCGAAGCTGAAGGTGCAAAGGCTTCAGCAGCAGCAGACGCTGCTGCTGCTGCTGCTGCAGATGGCGCAGCAGCAGCAGCAGCAGCAGATGGTGATGCAGTAACAGCCGCGGCAGCGAGCGCCACCTCTGCAGCAGCAGCAGCAGCAGCAACAGCAGCACCAGATAGCGGCTCAGCAGCAGCAGCAGGAGCAGCAACAGAGAGCAGCACAGCAGCAGCAGCAGCAGCAGCAGCAGCAGCAAGAACGCGAAAACTTCTGCTGGGGCGCTGCATATTTGCTGCTCGGGCGCTGCGGCTGCTGTCCCGGAAAAGCCTGCCGTGGCTGCAGGTGCCCCCGCTTGCTGCTGACGCTGCTGCTGCTGCTGCTGCTGATGCAGCAGCAGCAGAAGTGGCAGCAGCAACTCTCGAGCCGCCCGTTCACAACAACTTGGAGTGTGTCTGTATAGACACCCAGCAGCAGCAGCAGCTGCCGCAGCAGCTGCTGGCAGCAGAGCCTGTGGGGCCCTCGCTGCTGCTGCACCGCAGCTGCGTCTCCCTCATCGAAGCCTGCTGGTCCTGCTGCTGCAGCAGCAGCAGCAGCAGCAGCAACGCGTGGATTCCTCCCCTTGCTGTCTTGGAGGAGCTGTGCGGCGCTGCTGCTGTGCTGCTGCTGCTGCAGCACCCAGCAGCAGCAGCATATCAGAGGGCGCAGCAGCAGAGCCCGCTGCGGCGGTGCATGCGTTTGGTGGCTCTGGGGCTGCAGCAGCAGCAGCAGCAGCAGCACGACGAAGAGGTCTTGCTGCTGCACCGCCACCTGCTGCAGCTGCTGCTGCTGCAGCACATCATCACAGCAGCAGATGACATCCACATCTGCTGCTCGCCGCTGCAGCGGCAGCGCTTCCTTGCTGCGCTGCTCACTGACACAGCAGCTGCGCTGATGCTGCTGAGGGAGGGGCTAGCTGGCCTAGCTGCTGCTGCTGCTGCTGCTGCTGCTGCTGCTGCTGAAGAGGCCGAGGTGGGGGATGCCTCAGACAGCTGCTGCAACAACAGCAAAGCTGCGCAGCAGCAGCAACGGCAGCAGCTGTGGGATGTTGTACACGCTGTCTGGATGCGCTGCTGCTGCAGCTGTTTTGGCGTGTGGAACCGGTGTGCTGCGACAGCAGCAGCAGCTGCAGCAGCAGCAGCAGCTGCAGCAGCAGCAGCTGCAGCAACCAGTGCAGCAGATGCTGCTGCACAAAGCGTAAATGTCTGCGTCGAGCCGAAGCCAGAGGAGGTGCTTACGCCGCAAGCAGGGCACGGCAAGTTGTGCTGCTGTTGCTGTTGCTGCTGCTGCTGCTGCTAGCTGCTTCTGCAGCACCAGCTGCTGCTGTTCCGGCAGCTAATGCTGCTGCTGCTCCTGCTGCACCCGTCATAGCACCCTTACTTCTCAGAATGTGCAGGCCTTGAACGAGGAAATGGTCTGCAATGGCAGGAGCTGCTGTTGCTGCTGCTGCTGCTGTTGCTGCTGCTGTTGCTGCTGCTGCTGCTGTTACTGTTGCTGCTGCGGCTGCTGCTGCTGCTGCGGTACAGATCGAGCTCTGATTGCGTTTTCTTCTTCCGTCGCTTCCGAGGACTTCGTAGACCTTTTTAAACTGTTCCTGCGGCCCCTGCAGGTGACAGCAGCAACAGCAGCAGCAATCGCAGCAGCAGCAGGAGCAGCAGCAGCAGGAGCAGCGGCAGCATTTGTTTTTCTGCATCAATGCGAAAAGCACCTTTTAGTGCTGCTCACCTGCCATTGCTGCTGTTGCTGCTGTTGCTGCTATCTTGCAGGCATGTTCCGCGACTGCCGAGGGAGAGGCGCATGCAGCTGCAGCTGCTGCAGATCTGCAGCAGCAGCAGCGGCAGCAGCAGCAGCAGCAGCAGCAGCAGCAGTGGAGCCTTCATGAAGGCAACAGCGCTGCTGCGCGGCTAGCGGCCTTGACTGTAAAGGAGCTACTGCGGCTGTGGGAATTTGGCCAAGCTGCATTGAAGCCTCCTGCTGCTGCAGCAGGCGCAGCAGCCACTGCTGCTGCTACTCGTGCTGCAGCAGCAGCAGCACCTAGTTTGCTGCTGCCGGAAATCCTCGCAGGGCGACTTCGGTGGGCGCTGCAGAGCATGGCTGATGCTTATGCAGAGCACGTAGCAGCAGCAGTAGCTGCAGAACCCGGAGTAGCAGAGCAAGCTGAGCAGCAGCAGGAGCAGCAGCAGGAGCAGCAGCAGGAGCAGCAGCCAGAGCAGCAGCAGGAGCAGCAGGGGGAGCAGGAGCAGCAGCAGCAGCAGCAGCAGGAGTTGCAGCAAGTGCAGCAAGAGCCGCAGGCTCTTGTGCTGTTTTTATGGCAGCGAAGGGTAGGCACAGTGCTGCTGCTGCCGCTGCTGCTGCAGCAATACGTGGCGCCGCTGCTGCAGCAGCAAGACAAAGAGCTGCTGTCACTACACAGCGCCGCCTTCCGCCCGCGCGCGTTCCTGCTGCAGAAGCCCGCGCCGCTGCAGCAGCAGCAGCGGCAGGACCGGGCGTCGAAGCGCCAGCAGCAGCAGCAGCAACTGCAGCAGCAGCAGCAGCTGCTGCTGCAACAGCAGCAGCAGCAGCACCAGCAGTCCGTTGCCTCCCAGTTTTTCAAAGGGTCCATCTGTCTCAGCTGCAGGTACATCTCTTCTACAGGCAGCCGCTCCCGAGTTGCTGCTCTTGGCGCTTTGCTGCAGCTGCTGCGGCCGCTGCTGCAGCTGCTTGCTGCAGCGCGGCGAGAGCGTGCGGCGCTGCAGCAGCAGCGGCTGCAGCAGCAGGAGGAAGCTGCCACGGGAGCAGCAGAAGCATCAGCAGCAGAGCCCCTGCAGGATGCTGTTGCTGCTGCTTCAGAAGGCCTCGAGGGTTTGCTGCTGCCCCACGCCAATTCGCTGCTGGAGTCCCTCATTGCTTCCGCGGTTCTCCATCCACCGCAGTGTCTGTGCAGCAGCAGCAGCAGCAGCAGCAGCAGCAGCAGCAGCGGCAGTAGCACTGGCGACACCGACGACGCTGACAGCAGCAGCAGCAGCAGCAGCATTGACGTGACCACCTCCATGAAGCCCTTGTGCCATGCGCTGCTGCTGCAGTTTTCTGCTGCTGTTGGGGTGCAGCCGCTGCTGCAGCTTCTGCTGCAGAGGCTGCAGCAGCCGCTAGAGCCGCAGGGTGAGTTGCTGCAGCAGCTAGCGGCGACGGATGCAGCAGCAGCAGCAGCAGCAGCAGACGGAGGAAAACACATGCTTGAGACCGAAGCAACGCTGTGGCTGCTGCTGCAGCTTCTCGCCAACCCTGAGGCGAAGCAGCATATTCCGCCACTGCTAGAAGATGCAGCGATGCAGCTGCTGCTGCTTCGGCAGCAGCAGCAGCAGCAGCAGCAGCAGCAGGAACAGCAGCAGGCGTGCAGCACGTGCGGCAGCTCGGGAAGCGCTGCAGCTTGTTGGGCTGCTCGGGCGTCGTTTGTTGCTGCTCTCGTAGCATCCCCACCTCCTCCAAGAACAGCAGCAGAAGCAGCAGCAGCAGCAGCAGCAGCAAAACCAGCAGCAGCAACGGCTGCAGCAGCAGAAGCGGACCATCTGTTCCGTCGGCTGGAGCTCGCAGCAGGATGGACAGGTGAACTAGGGAGAGTTCTTATGTCAACGCGCAGCAGCTGCAGCTTCTGCTCCGCCAGCAGCAGCAGGGAGACGCAGCAGCAGCAGCAGCAGCAGCAGCAGCGGCACCTTGGTTTCTCGCTGCTGCGCCGCATGTCTGTTGCGGTTCTGCAGCTGCTGCTCTCTGTTGAGGCGCTGCTGCAGCGCCAGGTTGTTGCAGCAGAGACTTGCCTAGGGGACCCAGCAGCAGCAGCAGCTGCTGCAGCAGCCCTTAGCAAGAGCGCTGCTTTGCTGCAGCTGCTGCAGGGACTGCCTCAGGTGTCTCCTGCTGCTGCTGCTTGTTTGCCAGCCAGCTGCTGCTCTGTGCCTTTGCTGCGGGCCTTTCTCTCTATTGTTTGTCTGCTCTCTCGGCTGCTGCAGCTGCTGCAGGATCATTTGCAGCAACGCGGCGGTTTGGGAGCAGCAGCAGCAGCAGCAGCTGCTGCAGCAGCAGAACAGGCAGCTGCAGGGGAGGCACGGCCCATGAGTGCAGCGCAGCTAGCCGAGCTTGCTGCAGCAGCAAGCGAGCAGCTTAGCTGCTGCAGCAAGTGGATCTTGGCACAAGACTTCGGCGCGCGACTGAGCACAGATCCACTTGCTGCTGCTGCTGCTGCTGAGGGCGCTGCTGCTGCTGCTGCTGAGGTGTCTAGACACCTTAGTGAGCAGCACACCACAGTTGCTGTGCGGCAGTTTCTCATGGTGGCTTCTTTTTGCTGCTGCTTCCCTCGGCAGCTGCCGCTGGCGCCGCTGCAGCAGCTCAAGCAGGAGCAGCAGCAGCAGGAATTGAGTGAAGAGCAGCAACAGCAGCAAGAGCAGCAGCAGCAGCAGCAGCAGCTGTCACCACTTGATGCCCTTTCGCTGCGAGGCCTAAACGCAGCGCTGCAGAAAGAAACGCCGAAGCTGCAGCAGCTCATGCAGCTCCTCCCGGAGTCCCGCTGCAAAACAGACAGAAGCAGCAGCAGCAGCAGCAGCAGCAGCAGCAGAGGCAGCAGCAGCAGCAGCAGAGTATCTTTACTAGTGCTGGCCCTGCTGGAGCACTGCAGCGCCGCAGTTTGTGCTGCAGCTCCTCTAAGCGCTCAGAGCATGCAGCAGGCTAGAGATCTGCTGCTGCAGCTGCTGCTGCTGCTGTCGCTGCTCTGCAGCTGCCACCACGCGAAGCAGCGCAGCAAGCACGAGGCGGCGGCGCAGTGCGGCAGTCGCAGCAGCAGCAGCAGCAGCAGCAGCGTGTCGGAAACTAGCAGAGGCAGCAGCAGCAGCAGCAATGCAAGGACCTGCGGCTTGCTGCAGCTCGACACGCACAAGTGGATATACAAGGTGCTGCTGCCGCTGCTGCGGTGTCTTTCGACCTCGCAGCAGCACTCAGAGGAGGCGCTGTCTGCGCTGCTGCAGCTGCTGCTGCTGCTGCTGCAGCATGCCCTTATAGGGGCCCCCAGTGCTCGCATGCAAGAAGCAGCTTCTGAGCGTCGGCGGCACCCTAAGAAGTCCCACGGTGTTGCGGGGTCTATAATGGTGAAAACAGGCAGCAGCAGCAGCAGCAGCAGCACAGCAGCAGCAGCAGCAGCAGCTGCAGTCGGGGCCACGTGCATAGGGGGTGACCCAGCTGTTGTTGCTGCAGTTGTCAGCTTCCTCTCGCAGCAGCAGCTGCTGCTGAGGTCTCTTTTTCAGTGTTTCTGCAGCTGCTTCGCGCTGCCGCTGCCGTGTCTGCTGCTGATGCGGCAGCAGCAGAGCCAGCAGCTGCTGCAGCAGTTGCTGCTGCTCACGCTGCAGCACATTGTCCCAGCAGCAGTTTTGCTTTTGAAGCAAGAGCAGACTGCGGCAGCAGCAGCTGCAGCCGCCGCCCCAGCGGCAGTGTTGACAGCTCCAGCAGCGCCCTCAGCAGCAGCAGCAGCAGCAGCAGCAGCAGCAGCAGCAGCACCTGCAGCAGCAGCAGCAAACTCGTGGGCGCACCCGTTGCTGCTGTCAGCCCTTCGCTTCCTATTGGCCCTTGCGCGGGTCTCTAGAGGGGAGCTGCTGCAGACAGCAGACGGGGGCTCTCCGCCTCTTGTTGCTGCATTTCGCCTGCGGCGAGTCCAGGCGCAGCAGCAGCAGCAGCAGCAGCAGCAGCAGCAGCAGCAGAAGCGGGCGAAGGTTGTGGGGCTTCCAAGCGGGGCCTCCTCCACAGCGCCAGCCGCAGCAGCAACAACGCCAGCAGCAGCAGCCCACCGTGCAGCATACGACGCAGCGCCTCCGGCAGCAGCAGGGGCCTGTGCAGCAGCAGCAGCAGCAGCAGCAGCAGCAAGGGAGGCAGCAGATGTGGAGCTCACAGGGCTGCCAGCGGAGGAGAGAGACAGCCTCCAAAGTAAGTTTCAGCGAGTGCTGCGCTGCTGCGCTGCAGCAGCAACGCGGCTGCTGCTGCGGCAATGCGACTATTCTTTGCTGCTGCTGCTGAAGACCCACGCAATGCGACAGCTGGGCTTACCTGCTGCTGCTGCATGCAGCAAAAGTGTATTTTTGGCTGCAGCAGATGACAGCAGCAGCGCAGCAGCAGCAGCAGCAGCAGCAGCAGCTGCTGCTGCTGCTGCAGCGCAGGTGCCGGGGGTCAAGGATGAGCCTACAGAAGGAGCAAGCGCGTCGCAGCAGAAGCTGCAGTCGCAGCAGCTGCAGCAGCAGCTGCAGCAGCTGCAGCAGCTGCAGCAGCTGCAGCGCATACAGAAGCAGCTTCTCTCCGGCTCACAACGCAGGGCCACTTGCGCAGAGCTGCTGCTGCACTGGGCAGCAGCGCTGCTGTGGGGCAACACTGGCTGCCTGCGCTGCAGCGGGATCTCGCCGTGCTGGGGCCATGCTGCAGCAGTGCGTGCTGCAGAGCAGCAGCAGCAGCAGCAGCAGCAGCAGCAGCAGCAGGGGCTGCTGCTGCCGCATAGTGAGCAGCAAAAGGGCGACGCTTGGGACTGTGCGGTAGGCGCTTGCAGCAGTGGACAGAGGCTTCTCGACGGCCCTTCAGCAGCAGCAGCTGCTGCTGCTGCGAAGCAGCAGCAGCAAGCCGAAAGGCTGTGCTGGCAGCTGCTGGGGACGCTGCTGCTGCCAGCTGCAGCAACAGCAAGGGAAGTGCCCACGGTGCTGGGCGTTGAAGAGAATATGATGCAGCAGTTTATCCTGGAAGCAGCAGAAGGCAGCAACGGCAACAGCAACTGCAGCAGCAGCAACAGTAACAGCAGCAGCACCAGTAGCAGCAGCAGCAGCAACAGCAGCAGCAACAGCAGCAGCAGCAGCAGACTTCCAACCTGCAGCTTGCAGCCCATCACCTCAGTCCCAGCACTAGGGCTCTCCAGCTCTTGGAGCATTATTGCTTCTTTGCATTTGCTGCTGGGGGTTTCGCTGCCGGCCGAGGCCACGGCAGTTGCTGCTGCGTGTACTAGCAGCAGCAGCAGCAGCAGCAGCAGCAGCAGCAGCGGCAGCAGCGATGGGGCTGGAGAAGACGTACCAGCAGCACCAGAGGCAGCGTTGGTGAAGACAGACAACAGCAGCAACAGCAACTGCAGCAGCAGCAGCAGCTCCACCTGCTGCTGCTGCTGCATGCAGCCCTTGCGTGAAGACTGCTGCCGCGTATCGGGCGGCCCAGCAGCTTCTCGCTGCTGCCCGTGGGCGTGGCTGCTTCGCGAGTCGATGCAACCGCAGCAGCAGCAGCAGCAGCAGCAGCAGCAAGGCAGCAGCTGGTGCTGCTCCTGTGCTGCTGTGGTTTGGTATGCGCGGCTGCTGGTCAACACTGCTGCTTCCTACCCTGCAGCAATTAGCTTCCTGTCGAGCTGCAGCAGCTCGCGGGGTGTGCACACAATTCTGGGTCCCTACTGGTTGAGCAGCAACAGCAGCAGCAGCTGCTGCTGCAGCAGCAGCGCGGTGGCGCAGCAGGAAGCAGCTGCGCCCGCTGCGCTGCATGCGCCCCCGTTGCTGCTGCTGCACCCCTTCCAAGAGCTGCTGTGTGCGGCGAGCCAGGAGCAGCAGCTGGCAGCCCCTTTGCAGCAGCAGCAGCAGCAGCAGCAGCAGCCGTGGCAGCAGCAGCAGCAGGTGTCGCTGCCGCTGGCTTCGCAGCAGCAGCAGCAGCTGCAGCTGCATGCACTGCCCACAGCAGCGCTTCCCCCCATAGTTCTGGCCGCAGAAGAGCTGGCGCAGCAGCTGCTGTTTATTTGCACGGAGCAGCAGCGGCTGCTGCAGCAGCAAGGCCCCGTGCTGCTGTCAGTGCTGCGGGCCAGGCTGCCTGCTGCTGATTTGCTGCGGCTTGCAGCTGCGCTGCAGCAGCGCGACTGGGCCGAGCAGCAGGCGCTGGACCGGGACACAGCAGCAGCAGCAGCGCGCCTGCCGCAGCAGCAAAGTCTGCTGCTGCAGATTGCTGCAGCGCAGCAAAAGGGAGAGCTGCTGCAGCTGCTGGAGCTGCTGACCCCCCCCACTCCAGTCCCCATTCCCGTGGCTTCCCCTTCTGGGGGCCGGGCCCCCCCTCGCTTAGTGGGTGCAGCAGCAGCAGCAGCAGAAGCAGCAGCAGCAGCAGCTGCTGCTGCTGCTGACGCAGCACCTGCTGAGCTGCTCATAGAAACTGGCGGCAAGGTAAGGGCTGGCAGCAGCGTCAGCTTCGGGGCCTGTAGAACTCGAGCCAAAACTACGCGCCGCAGCGTGAGGCCTGGCCCCAGCTAGCTAGCTAGCTAGCTAGCTAGCTAGCTGTGGGTGGCTAGCTAGGTACAGCCAGCTAGCCATGGCTGGCTAGCGACGGCTAGCTAGCCACGGCTAGCTAGGTGCAGCTAGCTAGCCACCTGCCAAGGCCACGCAGCAGCTACGGGGCTGTGGCTGAAGTGCAACTGCCCCGCTTTGGGCTGCTAGCTATGAGTCTGGCTGCGGAGCAGCTAGCTGCTGGCTAGCTGGCTAGCTACGAGTGACTGGCTAGCTAGCTAGCTAGCTAGCTAGCTAGCTAGCTACGAGTGGCTGGCTAGGTGGCTGGCTGGGGAGTGGCTAGCTAGCTAGCTAGCCAAGCGCCGGGGCGGCCGGCAGCAGAACTGAATCTGTTTGAAGTCAAAAAGAGTCACTGCAGCAAATGGAGATGCAGCACTGCAGCAAGCTGCCCAGCTGCAGCGGCCAGCTGAGCTGTCTGTACACCCCAACTTCCTGGGGCAGTAAAGCACTGAGGCAAAGACAGAGCAGGCAAAGACAAAAATTAGATCTATTAAATGATTAGCAGTAAAAGAGACCCATTGAAGCGAGCTTGCTGCAGCAGGAGCGGCAGCAGGGCCGCTGCTGTTGCTGCTGCTTCTCGCGCTGTTGCTGCTGCTGCTGCTGCTGGGGTGCTGCTGCTGCGTCCGCCGCAGCAGCAATTCGTTTGGCCTGTTTGCTCAGCAGCAGCACGCCACGAGCTGCTGCGGCTCTGCGCCCGCATTGGGGGCTCTATTGCATCTGCAGCAGCAGCAGCTATCCCTCAGCAGCAGCAGCAGCAGCAGCACGCGTCGCTGCTGCCCCGCAGCAGCAGCAGCAGCGCCACGGCGGGGCCCAAGTGACCACTTAAGAATGCTTTGACACAGCCAGCTTTGCCACCCCTATGCGCAGCAGGCTCTCCAGCTGCAGCAGAAGCACAAGCTGGATTCGCCTGCTGCTGCTGCTGCTGCTGCTGCTGCTGCTGCTGCTGCTGCTGCTGTTGCTGCTGCCTCGCGAAACGCCGCAGCAGCAGCAGCAGCACAGATCCCTTCGCTGCTTCCAGCAAACGCCAAATGCTGCAGCGAGGTCCCTGTAGAGCCCGTCGGCAGGGGTTACTCTAAACTGCTGCTGCTGCTGCTGCTGCTGTTGCTGCTGCAGCGGCACCAGCTGTCGCCGCTGCAGCATTCAGACTAGCTGTTACCAATTTGCTGGCAATTCTTTTGGGCTTTCCAACATGGTTCTAAAGGCGGAGCAAGTTGCTGCTGCTGCTGCTGCTGCTGCGACTGTTTGGCCAAAGGCAGCAGCAGCAGCAGAAGACATCCGAAATGTCTCTAGTCCCGCCGCTTCTAAGAACACTTGAAGCCTCTGCAGCACTCCTGCTGCTGCTGCTGCTGCTGCTGCTCTGCTGCTGCAGCTTTAGTGCTGCACGGAGCTGTAAAACCAGTCCCGAAAATTCAAATGACTAGTAACGCCGCTGCTGCTGCTGTTGCTGCAGCTGCTGCTGCTGCAGCTGCTGTTGCTGCTGCTGCTGAAACAAAAGCGACACCTCAAATCTCGCCAAAGCCAACGAAAAGGAAAGCGCAGCTCTTCTCCTGCTGCAGCAGCAGCAGCAAAAGCTGTTGCTGCTGCTGCTGCAAAGCCACAAGAGAGGGCCGCGAAAAAACGGCGAGCGTCAAACAGATGCCTCCCAAGAGACACCAGCAGCAACTGTTGCTGCTCTTGCTGCTGCTGCTGCTGCTTCGGCAGCAAAATCAGCAGCTGCAAGAAGAGACAAATACTCCAAAACAATAAAAGAACCTCTATTGGCAGCGGCGGCACTGCTGCTGCCGCTGCTGCTGCTGCTACCGCTGCTGCAGCTGCTACGGTCTCCAGTGGACGCGTAGAAAGAGGGCTGCTGCTTACGCCCCGGAAGCTGCTGCTGCTGCTGCTGCTGCTGCAGCAGCAACAAGGGCAGCAGCAGCAAAGCAGCACAGCTACACCGGAACGCGGTGCTTCTTGCTTCTGCTAGATAAGAGAGCAGCAGCTTCTGATGGTAAATCCCCGAAGTCCTGGTGCATCTCTGTGTCTTCCGGTGTTTGCTGCTGCTGCTGCTGCTGCTGCTGCTGTTTCTGCTGCTGCTGCTGGTGGTCCTGCAAAAATTGTTGCTGCACTTCTCGTAGCTGCAGAACAGCGTCTCGCAGCCTCGCAGTTTCTTCGTCCTGCGGCTGCTGTTGCTGTTGCTGCTGCTGCTGCGGCACCCCGCCAGAAGCGCCAGTGGCAGCAGCAGCAGCAGCTGCTGCTGCTGCTGCTGCTGCTGCTGCACCCTCCGGCTGCCCCGGGGAAGAGACAGCGCCCAGCGACTGCAGCAGCTCCTGCAAGCAGGGCAGCAAAGAAGGTGCAGCAGGATCTTGCTGCTGCTGCTGCTGCTGCCGCGGGTCTTCCGGGCGCGTGCCGCTGCTGCCGTCGTTCTGACCTTGCAGCTGCTGCAGCAGCTGCTGCAGCCGTTGCTGCACCTGCTGCTGCAGCTCTAATGGCGAGCAGACGCCTGCTGCATCGCCAGACACCAGCTGCTGCTGCAGCGGCACTTCGCGGGGGCGAGGGACGTCTTGCTGCTGCTGCCCGCCTGCTGCAGCCCCCCGCCGTTTGCTGCTGCTGCCGCTGCTGCTGCTGCCAGTCATGCCATTGCTGCTGCTGCTGCTCTTGCCCTGCGTTCCCAGAGAAGCCAGCAGCGAGGCCACAGCAGTGAAGGGCGACTCATTGCCGTTCTGCTGCAGCATGGGTGCGTCTGCTGCTGCTGCAGCAGTCTGCTGCCTGCCAAGAGCAGCAGCAGCAGCAGCAGCAGCAGCAGAAGCATCTCCTCCAATTGTGCTGCAGCAGCGCTTGCGGAAGGCGCTCGGGGACATGTAGCCTGTCCTCGAGCCTCCCCTGCCTCTGTTGGGTCCATCGAGCAGCAACAGCTGCTGCTGCTGCTGCTGCTGCTGCTGCTGCTGCTCCTGCTCCTCTTGCTGCCTCTCCAGCTTGCACAGGGAAGAGCCGCAGGCTTCCCCCGAAGTGCTGCAGCAGCAGGCGCTGCTGCTGCTGCAGCAGCCCGACCTGCTGCTGTTGCCTCCCGGCGTGCTGCTGCTGCTCGGGGTGAGGACGCTGCTGCTGCTGCCGTCAGCTATGCAGCCTGCAGCAGCAAGCAAAAAGGTGGTGGCGAACTGCTGCTGGTGCAGCTGCTGCAGCTGCTGCAGCTGCTGCAGCCGCTGCAGCTGCTCCAGCTGCAGCGCGTAGCCCGCAGTTTCCGCCTGAGACATGAGAGTGTCCCCGGAGCGCTGCCGCTGCTGCTGCGCTGTTGCTGCTGCTGTTGCGGAGGAGTGCATCTGCAGCAGCAGCAGCTGCTGCATGACCTGCTGCTGCGCCAGCATCACAGCAGCAGCAGCAGCAGCAGAGTGAAACAAAGACATGCCTTTCTTCAGGTTGTCTTCTGGCCGCAGCGCCTCCTCATCCACAGCAGCAGCAGACAGCAGCGGCGGCAGCGGTGCTGCTGCTGCTGCTGCTGCTGTTGCTGCCAGCAGCCCCGTGGGCGTGGTTGCTGCAGTGCCGTTCGCGACGCTGACAGCCCCGCTGCTCTTGCTGCTGCTGCCTGCTGCCCCCACAGCTGCTGCTGCTGCTGCTGCTGCTGCTTCCTGCTGCTGCCGCTGGCTGCGCAGCAAATCCAACTCCATGTCTTTCCGCGCCTGCAGCGCCTTCTCCCTCGCCCTCTCGAAGCCGTAAAGCTTTGATGAAAAATACTTCTTCAGGATCTTGCCTCCTGCAGCAGCAGCAGCAGCAGCAGCAGCAGCAGCAGCAGATGCAGCAGCAGCAGCAGCAGGGGCGGGCCATGCAGCTCCGCGGGGAAGCACAGACGAGAGCAGACGCTGCAAAGTTGCCCCTGGCTTTTACTCAGAACAGCAACAGCAGCAGCAGCCGCGAGAGCAGCAGCAGCAGCAAGAGCAGCAGCAGCAGCAAGAGCAGCAGCAGCAGCAAGAGCCTTACCGACGTGCAGACGCGCTACCCAGGAGTTGTCATAGCGGCTAAAGTGAACGCCCAGCTGGCGCAGCTGATTATCTGAAGGCTGCTGCTGCGGCTGCTGCTGCTGCTGCTGCTGCTGCTGCTGCTGCCGGTCGCCGCGCAGCGGCAGCCAGTCATCTGGCCTGGAAGTGCTCCGCTCTCTGGCTTGGTTGCGCAGCAGCAGCTCCTCCTGCTGCTGCTTGATGGCGGGGAGGCCAGCGGCGCTGCTGCTGCTGCTGCCGAGGCTGCTGCTGGCAGCAGCAGCAGCAGCAGCAGCAGCAGGGTCCGCGGCGCCAGCAGCAGCAGCTGCTGCAGCGTCGAGGGCGTGCGGGTCCAGGGAAGAGGAGCGCCTGCTCCTGGCCTGCTGCTGGTTGGCGCGCTTGTGGTGCTTGCTGCTGCTGCTGCTGCCGAGGCTGCTGCAGACCTGCTGCTGCTGCTGCTGCTCTGCTGCGTCCCGCCGCGCCAGCTGCCGCTTCGGGCGAGTTGAAGTGCGAGTGCTGCGGGCCAAAGAGCCGCTGCTGCCTTCAGAAGCAGCAGAAGGGGAGCAGCGGGAGGAAGCAGCAGCAGCAGGAGAAGCAGGGCCTGCCTGGAGTCCCAGGGGCCTGCGGGCGAGGAGCCTGCTGCTGCTGCTGCTGCTGCTGTGCTGCTGCAGCAGGAAGTCGTCGTCCTCCATCTCCACCGCCGCTGCTGCTGCCACCTCCGAGGCCGAGGGGCTGCTCACCGGCTGGCTGGTCGTGCTGCAGCTCTTGCTGCTGCCTGCTGCTGCGCTGCTGCCCTCGCTGCTGCGCATGCTGCAGAGGGGCACTGAGAATGCTGCTGCTGGCCTTGCTGCTGCAGCACGGCCCTGCTGCAGCCGCTTCACAGCCTCCGAGGGGACCCCCACAGCTGCCCCATCTGCTGACCACTCCGCCAGGGGGCCCCCCTGCTGCTGCTCCGTTGCTGCTGATGAGACAGGGAGCTCCTGCAGCAGCAGCTGCTGCAGCTGCTGCGCGGCACAAGGAGTCGGGTCTGCTGCAGCAGCCATCGTGCTCAGAGAAGGGCTGCTGCTGCTCTTCTGTTGTTTGGCCGCTGCTACTCCTGTGCCGCTGCTGCTGCTGCTGCTGTAGGCGGGCGGGTGCACGGCGTGCCGCAGCAACGGCAGCAGCAGCAGCAGAGGGCAGCAAATCAGAAACGACGCAGCAGCAAGTAAGGGTTTGATGCGGCAGCAGTGATGCAGAAGAAGACCAGCGGACTGCTGCTGCTGCTGCCCCGGCCTGCTGTGCTGCGGGGAGATGGGATCGCCTGCTGCTGCAGCAGGGCGCGGCAGCAGCAGCAGCAGCCTAGCAGCAAACCTGCTGCTATGGCAGATAAACAAACATAAGAGTCTATAATGGGGAGAAACGCAAGAACTGCAGCAGCGAAATGGCAGCACCTGCTGCCGCTGCTGCTGCTGCTGCTGCACTTCGATGTTGCGGTGCGACTGCAGCAGAACAGGGGTAGGAGCTCCACCAGCAGTCACAGTGTGCAGCAGCAGCAGCAGCAGCAGCGCTGCATAGCAGCAGCTCTTACATGAAAACAAAAGAAACTCTTATTCTTTGTTGCGGCGGCTGCCGCGGGGGAATAACGGACGCAGACTGTATTGCTGCTGCGGCTGCTGCTGCTGCTGCTACGGCAGCAGTAGCAGCAGCAGCAGCAACAGACCACTAGCAACTGCTGCAGCAGCCGGGGCGGGGCGCCAAGCGGCAGCTGCTACGACGCGCTGAAGGACTTTTAAAATAATAATGTAATAATCAAAAGACGTTTCAATTCTCTTTTTGATCATCCCTTTTCAGGATTTTCTCTCGCTGCAGCAGCAGCAGCAGCAGCAGCGCGTTGTTGCTGGTGCTGCTCCTTTGGCTGCTGCTGCGGCATTTGGGGTTTGGCAGACATGCAGCAGCTGCTGAGCAAACTGGGGCCTCTCCAGCGCTTCTTCATCTTCAGCAGCAGCAGCAAATCTTGTCTCTGCAGCAGCGACTGCAGCTGCGGCTCCTGCAGCAGCAGCAGCAGCGCGGCAGCAGCACCACCCCACCGCAGCCTGAAGGGCTTCCCGCTGGTCCTCTGAGTCTTCACAGCCACTTCTAGGCGCGCAGCAGCAGCCGAGCAGGTCATTGCGTTGTCTGCTGCAGCAGACTTCAAGGGCAGCGCCCACGGGTGCAGCAGCAGCAGCAGCAGCAGCAGCAGCAGCAGCAGCGGCTCCGGGCCGTTCTTCCTGGTCGCGCTGCCGCTGCAGCGGCGGCGGCTCTCCAGCTGCTGCGCAGCAGCCCCAGCTTCTCTCCGGCGGCAGCCAGAGCCGCAGCAGGCCGCCGCCGCCCCTGCAGCAGCAGCAGCAGCAGCAGCAGCAGCAGCAATGAGTTTGCTGCGGCTGTCTGCCCCGCTGCGGGGCCTCCAGAAGCAATCCATGGTCCGCTGCTGCGATGGCTCGGGGGCCCTCAAGGCCTGCATTATAGGCCTGGGCAATTACAGGCACGGGGGGGGGGCCCCCGGGGCCCGCGTGCGGCTGTCAGTGCGGGACCGGCAGCAGCAGCAGCAGCAGCAGCAGCAGCAGCAGCAGCAGAAGATGCCCCTCGGGCTCATTGTCCGCGCCAAAAAGGAAAAAAGAAGAAAAGATGGCTCTTATATTTCCTTCGGAGATAATGCATGCATTCTCATTGCCAACAACAAGCTGCTGCAGGGGCCCATCAAGGGGCCCCTCCCCTTCGACATTTCCCACAACTCCAAACTCCTGGCAGAGGTCATACTTTAGGGGCCCCCAGGGGGCCCCCAGGGGCCCCCAGGGGGCCCCAGGGGGGCCCCAGGGGGCCCCAGGGGGGCCCCAGGGGGCCCCAGGGGGGCCCCAGGGGGGCCCCCATGGGGGGCACCCCTCAGGGGGGCCCCCCTGAGGGCCCCCAGTGGCCCCTTGTACCCGGGGCCCCACCCCGGGGGCCCCCATCAGGGGGGGCCCCTGTGGCCCCTCTTATGAGGGGCCCCTGTCTAGGGGCCCCCCAACAGGGGCCCCTTATTGTTCTCGTCGGGGGCCCCTCATCGGGGGCCCCCTGAGAGGGTACAGGGGCCCCCTGAGAGGGTACAGGGGCCCCTGGGCAGGGGCCCCCTTGTAAAGATTGCACAGCGGGGGGCCCCCAAGCGAAGGGCCCCAGGGGGGGCCCCATGCTGGGTGCTCTAGGGGGGCCCCTGGGGGCCCCCCTGGGGGCCCCTGGGGGCCCCTGGGGGCCCCCGGCAGCGGACAGCCACAGCGGTCTTCCATTTCGGACTCACTAGTTTGCTGCTGCGGCTGCTGCAGCAGCAAACAGCATGTGCTTTTCTTTGCTGCAGCTGCTGCAGCAGAGTCTGTTTTTTGCTGCAGCTGCTGCAGCAGACTGTTTTTTGCTGCAGCTGCTGCGGCAGACTCTGCTTTTTGCTGCAAATGCTGCAGCAGACTCTGTTCTTTGCCGCAGCTGCTGCAGCAGACTTTGCTTTTTGCTGCAACTGCTGCAGCAAACTGCTTCTTGCTGCAGCAGCTGCAGCACAAGCTAGTCTTTGCAGCAGCAGCTGTAGTATGTGTGACAGTTTTTTAAGGTGTACATACACCTCATTTCTTATACTCCATGTGGCGCCCCGCAGGGCCCCTTACAGACCCTTTTTTAGGGTTTAGGGTTTAGGGTTTAGACTGACTTCAGTATAAAAGGCAGAAGTAGCAGCAGCAGTAGTAGCAGCGCCAGTGGCATCAGCAGCACCAGTAGCAGTACCAGCAGCAGCAGCAGCAACAGCAGCAGCAACAGCAGCAGCAACAGCAGCAGCAACTGCAGCAAATCTAGCGGGTAGGATATGAAAGATGGTACAGCTGCGGTTTCTAAGCTGCCTGTCAGGCCCTCCAAAACCCCAAAGGAGCCCTCGGGGGCCCCACAGGGGCCCCCTGAGGGGCCCCCACAGGGGCCCCCTGAGGGGCCCCCTGAGGGGCCTCAAGGGGCCCCCGAATGGCCAAAAAGGGCCCCTTAGAGGGTCCAAAGAGGGCCCCTGGGGTCTTATAAAGGGACCCTCTGGGGGCCCCAAAAGGGGCCCCCTGGGGCCCCCAGAGGGGCCCCTTGCAAGCTTAAAGAGATGCGCCCTAGGGGCCCCCAAAAGGCCCTGAAAAGGCCCTTAGAGGGGCCCCTAAGAGGCGCCTTGGGGCCTCAGAAGGGGCCCCTGGGGGCCCTAAAATGGCCCTCTAAGCTCCCAGGGGCCCCCAAAGTGGCCCTCTGAAGCCCTAGGAGCCCCTGGGGCCCCCTTGGGGGGCCCCAGGGGCCCTCCGGAGGAGCCCCTGAGGGGCTTCCGGGGCCCCGGGGGCCCTCAGGGGCCCCCCGGGGCCCCTTCCGGGGCCCCTGGGGCCCCCGGGAGGGGCCCCTGGGGCCCCCGGGAGGGGCCCCTGGGGCCTCGAAGGGGGCCCCTGGGGCCTCGGAGGGGGCCCCAGGGGCCTCGGAGGGGGCCCCAGGGGCCTCGGTAAACGCATGCAATCGGCCAGAAAGCCCCAAGGGGGGCCCCCAAGAACCTCAGAAGGGCCCCGCTGCTTGCAGGGGGCCCCCGCAGTCAGAGCAGCAGCAGCAGCTAAGGACCAAAGAAGCTGCTGAGGCCCTTGGAGGCCCCCTTACTGGGGGCCTTTTGATTCCAAGGCTCTCTGCTGCGGGCACAGCGTCTACGTGGCTGCTGCTGCTGCTGCTGCTGCTGCCGCTGCTGCTGCTGCTGCTGCTGGTTTGCTGCTGAACTTGCAGTTGTTTGGGTGGTCACGGCAAGGGCCTCTGCGGGGCCGTTGTGCTCCTGCTGGTTTTTGCTGCTGCTGCGGGTTGAGAGGTCGGCTGTGCTGCTGCTGCTGCTGCTGCTGCTGTTGCTGCTGCTACTTCGCACATGCTCCTGGGAGCCTTCCTGCTCAGCTGGGCCCGCAGACGCTGCAGTAGCAGCAGCAGCTGCCACTGTTGGCACAGAGCTGTGAGGCGCTTGCTGCTGCTGCTGCTGCTGCTGCTGCTGCTGGCCTGCTGCAACGGCGGAGAGCCGTAGCAGCCGCCGCTGCTGCTGCTGCAGCTTAGCCCCGGCTGCTTCTGAGCTCACCTTGTGAAGACTTTGCTGCCGCTGCTGCTGCTGCTGCTGCTGCTGCTGCTGCTGCTGCTGCTGCTGGTCCGGCACTGAGCCGTCCTTTGTAGATGCGGTGGTGGGAGCATACCGAGGGCCCTCAAAAGCTCTCATTTCCTTTGCTGCAGACTCAAAAGGCCGCCCATTTGCTGCTGCTGCTGCTGCTGCTGCTGCTGCTAAGGTCTTCTTCGATAGAGAGCGGCACCGGGCGTTTGCAGGGCGAGCGTCCTTCGACTTAGGGGCGATTTGGGACAGCAGCTGCAGCTGCTGCTGCTGCGTTTGCTGCTGCTGCTGCTGCTGCTGCTGCTGCTGCTGCTTCAGTGGCTGCTGCATTGAGGCCCTCCGTAGCCTCACTCTACGGGCCTCAGCCAAGCGGCCCGCCAGAGCTTTTGGACAAGCATCTTCGAATTCTTCAGACTGCTGCTGCAGCTGCTGCTGCTGCTGCTGCTGCCGCTTCTGCTGCTGCTGCGGCTGCTGTCCATCCTGTTTCACGTTCGCCGCGTCTGCGTGGTTACTTGCAGCAACGATCCTTGCGCCATTGCTGCTGCTGCTGCTGCTGCTGCTGCTGCTGCTGCTGCTGCTTCCCCGTGAGCGTCCTTCAGCCTGTCGTGCCGAAACAGGGCCACGATCTCCTGCATCTGCGTGCTGCTGCTGCCGCCGGTGCCGCTGCTGCTCTTGCTGCGGCTGCTGCTGCCGCTGCTGCCGCTGCTGCTGCTGCTGCTGCTGCTGCTGCTGCTGCTGCTGCTGCTGC